TTGCTGCTGCACTCAGAACAGAAATCTCTGAGGCCCGCAGGCAAGGGGGCGGCGAAGCCTATGGCAGCAAAAGCTAAGCCGAAGGGGAAAGCCAAGAGCAAAGCAAAGGCCCAGGCTAAGAACAAGACCAGCAAGGCCCCAGAAGCCCCCGAAGATGTTGAGGTTGCTGCTCCCAAGAAGAAGGGCTGGCCTAAGGGGAAGGCTAAGGCCAGCATGAAGAGGCCTGCTGCGGCTGTCAGGGGTAACAACAAGGAGGAAGATGATGAGCAGGCCAACAAGAAAGCAGATGATGTCAAGCAGAAGGATGCACAGGAGGAGGAGGAGGAGAAGCAAAAGGAGCCTATGGAGGACTCAAAGGAGCTGAAGGAGGAGCCAAAGGAGCCTGAACCGAAGCGGGCAAAAAAGGGTGTGTGTCTTGTGACCGCCGAGCAGAAGAAGCAGTTGAAGTCGTTACTGGGACATGTATTGAGCATGTGTGCATGTGTGTATGTGTCTCTTTGGATTGTTGGTATTTCTTGTACTTGTCAAACTTGGCGTGCTCTGCAGGCTTATCGCTCATGGACCCACCTTTCGTGTCGAAGTGTATTGGACTTGTGCGCAGCCGAAATGCGGTGTGCGATCCAAAGAGTCAGGGAAGTCCATGTTTTGCCACAGCTTCCCCTCGTTTACGATTCTGATCGAGCTGTGCAATGAGCTCGTCACTTGATTGAACATGTGCATGACACGATAACACCAGGCATTATGGTTGAAACTCTAGCTGTGGTGCACTCTGTACAGAAGGTGGAGTTCTTCGAGAAGCACGGGCACGATGTGAACTGGGACCGTGTGACCTACAAAGCGAACTCTGTCTTGATGAGCCTGCGAATGAAGTACAAAGCCGAGCTGAAAGCTGACCCTCCTTTGATCTAGATTATTGAGAAGCCAAGAGCTTGCTCGTGACTGCTTAGGAACAGGCCTCGGGGCTTGGATCCATCTCCCACTCTGCGGAGTGGATTGGTGGGGTTATGTGTGTGTGTGTGTGTGTGTGTGTGTGTGTCTGTACTTTCTGTGATAGAGCATCGTACGTATGGGGCATGTAGGGTTCCAGCAAACTTTCGTCTACGACAAGTCTTATATACCTGTTGATACGAGGATGGATCCTGGGGTTTTGCCTCCGTGGCCTCAATGCAGTTACAGCCGCTTTGTACAGCAATTGCAACCGGAATCGTAGACATACGTGTGGCCGGAGCTGTCCGCTCCATTTTTGATGCGATTGCTGCTTCTTTCAACAGCATCACACATGTCGGGTGTTGCCAACTGTGTGGTGCAACAGCTTGAGACACGGCCTCGCCGCCCTAGAGGATCGATCGGCAGGAAACAAAAAAGTGACACATGCACCTGTCCTAATTGTGTATATCTGAACAACCTACAGTTGCAGCCATCAGCAAGCAGCATGCCACATGCTTGTTTGTGTTGGAGGTTGTTTGTGTGAACAAGAGCAATTGCTGCTGGTTGAGGTCTCTGCGCCTATGCCCCGTGGATGGAAACGATTGCAGCCAAGAGTCGGCTGAACTGGCATGTTCGCTCTTGTGCATGAAGCTGGCGATACCTTGGTTTGAGCACAACAGCAATCATGCCCGTGGTCTTGATCTTGAAGTTCTCTTTGTGCGTTGGATTGGAAGAACTCGCTATTGCAGTGTTTTGCCCGAAGGCCAGAGTGACATGCTTCATGGTTTCAAGTGCAACTTCAGAAACCCTAATCTCTTTCAGCAGTCTCAACTCATATTCTCTCGACAGGGCTGCATAGGTCTCTTTACAAATCATGTTCAGCCGACGCAATGCGTGGAACCTGCGGGTGCTTATCTGCAACCTCTTCCGAGCTGGGGTTCCCCGGGCACTCTGGACTACATACATTCGCTCTGTCAGATCATGCATGTATTATGCCGTCATTATACATCAGACTTTACTTTATCTTTCAAGGCTGTGGTCGTTTGCTGCTTGCTCCTCTACTTCATGGAAGATATCCACCTCACCCGGGCTCGTCGATTGAATTATGGTGTGCTCGTCTTCTCGTGGTTGTTCAACATACCATTCCATCCTGTTTGCTTCTCCGAGGATTGGCGTGCTATAGAATTCTTTGCAGGCAAGGCAAACCTGTCCAGCAGCTTGAAGACGTTATCATTCAAAACCCTTTCCCTGGACTACGAATATGCACCTGATCGAACTTACTACGACCTCCTGAGTCCAGCGGGTATGGCGCTTCCGGATGGCAACTGGCTATACTGTTCTGTGCATAGTCTATGCTTTTGCTTGTATCTACTATTATATAAAAGTCCTGGAATGATTCTCTTTCCTGTTCTGCACGAAGGTTAGCATTGCTGGCAGTTCTTCGTCTTGAAGCTGGGGGATTGATCGTCATGGCTCCTGTGTGCTCTTCCTTTTCAGACATGTGTGCTGCTCAATCGGGGCGGACAATATTGTGTCCCTTTGGGGATACCTCCCTCCCTTGGGTCCAAAGCGGCAACTTACTGGCCCACAGGCGCCGCCTCATTTCGGAGTTTGTTTAGCCGTCTTGAGCTGTTGCTTGGCAATAATACAGAGCATGCTGATTTACATCAACCTTTTCATGTAGCATGGGCAGGTGCATTCTCTTGTGCTACATGGCAATGGCTTTGAACCTATGCTTTATTCTGGAGCAGCCTGCAAGTGCAAAGTTTTCTTTCTTGCCACAATGGGAGCACTTCTGTCGAGAAGTGGCATGGGTAGCTGAGCTGAGCATATATCTTGTGAGAGCGATGTTGTGCTGAGTTTCTAATTATTCGTGCTTGTCCTCTACACAACTGAGGTCTACCGGCAAACTGTTAACATGAGGGCTTTTGGTGCTCCTAGCATGAAGAAGTCATGTCTCTGGTCCAACAGCACACTGATCGGCGACCTGGGTTCCGATGTTGTATCTGCGGCCGCTTGCTTTGGTAACAATACTCATGGTTTGCAGTTGTTTGTTGCCATGATACATGACACATCCTTGCAACATGCTGTCACCTATTATGAGCATGAGATGTATTTGCCTCAGGAAATGCGGCGAACAGCACAACCGCTGGTCCGCCGCTATATAGACTCCAAGGGTAAGACTCGGTACAGTGGGGTGCAGAAAAAACTCAAAAAGAGCCAGTGGGGGCCTCAAAGAACACATGTTGATCTGGTGTTAAAACAATATACTTGTATGTGCATGGTGAACATCGCATGTTTGCTGTTTTGCCCAGGATGTATACCCGTGCCTTTGGATACCGCATCGGTGGCTTGTTGCCGCGACTATGCTCTCATATCAGGGGCCTTCGTGCGCCTAAGGAGCTTTCGGCTGCAAGTTGGTTACATCGTGTGTGCAATACCAATCATCCAAGCTGTGCTGCTTTGTTGATATTAATCGATACCGAAATGAAGCACGCTTGTCCCAGGAGCCCGGATCTGTCTCGGCCATCGATATTCTGGCCAAGCTTCAAGAAGACCAGCAGCTCTGGGAGGAAGCAGCGATGCCTGAGGTGATCACTTATCTTCGAGGTTCTAAATCCCTCGTGATGCCACAAATTTTCAAGGAAGTTCTGAACTTGTGATCATAGCATGAACTAGAGGCAGCACTTCCGCAACAATTCGTTTGACTTGCATTCGCATAATTCATGCAACACATGCATGAACTGCTGAAGCTGCTGTCGGCCGTGCAAACAGTTCTTGCTGGGAGTTGTGATGTGCTGCTTGAACCGCATGATGACTTGATTGTTGCACATCTACAGCAAGCAAGACAAACATTCAGCTCCAAAACAGTGGTTGCAGTGGAACAATACAGAGCCTAAGTTAGAAACGGTTGCTGCCTGGTAGGCCATACACACGGGCGAGGTTGGAAAACGTTGGAAAAGGTTGCTGCCTGGTAGGCCACACACGTGCGAGGTTGGAAAACGTTGGAAAAGGTTGCTGCCGGGTAGGCCACAAACAGGCGAGGTTGGAAAACGTTGGAAAAGGTTGCTGCCGGGTAGGCCACAAACAGGCGAGGTTGGAAAACGTTGGAAAAGGTTGCTGCCCGGAAGGCCACGAACAGAAACATTGCCCAGCCCAACAAAAACCACAAAAATCACGCCGGAACCCCACGCAATCGCGCGCAATCCTGCGCAAGAAAACCAGTTCTTTGCGTAAGAAAACCAGTTCTTCGCGCAAGCCGGCGCAATCTTGGAATTCTTGAAATTTCCAATAAAATTTCAACGGTTTGTCCTTGTGCATGGACCTACAATTTGGAAAACCAAAAAAAACTGGTTTTCCAACGGATGCTCCCAGCTTGCCTTTGGAAACCAAAGCAACGCAAATAGTTGGAAAACCAAAAAAAGTATCTGGACACAGGAAAAGCAAACGTCACCAAGTTGGAAACCAAATAAAACAGGTTTTCTCTTGAGTTCAAAAAAGAAGCTTTAAAATCCAAGCGCAGCCTTGGGGAGTGTCTGGAATGCACTGAACACGCTTATTTCGATGCCTTTGGCCAGATCCAAGCAATCCGGAAAATCTTGTTGGAAACTTATTCTTATTAAGCCTTAAAATCCAAGCGCACCCATTGGGAGTGCCTGGAATGCCCTGATCACGCTTATTTCGATGCCTTTGGCCAGATCCAAGCAATCCGGAAAATCTTGTTGGAATTTTACTTTTTTGGTTTTACGCTTAGGTGCTGCGATCCTTTAATGCTACTGTCCCATGCCATACAAGTGCTGCCAGGCACCGACAGTGATGCCGACGAGCTGGCCAAGCGCCGCCGATCAGCAGGTGCCCCCCCCTTGCTTGCACAGGAAGATTGTACATGTTGACTCGCACGGTGCAGCTGTTGTGTTTGCTGGTTGCTGGCTTGCATACACAGCATGGCATGAGCAATGTCTTTGCAGCCTTGATGTGTGCTGAAGCTCAATCCAAGAGCATTTTTGGGTCAAGAGATGAGTGGCCCCTCCAAGCTTAGGTCGTGCTCTTCGCTTCTAGCCGGCCAAGGAGCAATGGAGGGTCAAGGGCAGCCGACGCTGCCAGTGCCAAGGGTCGCAGTCACCTTGCACAATAACAATCATGATGTTGTTCAGTTCAGTTGCTCGCTTTCTTCTCAATAATATTAGCACTGAATTCTAAGGTGAAGCAGGAGACGGAGGAGGAAGATTTCTCCCCAAGAACTTTGGCGATGATAGCTTCGCTGGACGATTCCGTGGAATCGCAGGCCCTCGTGGCCCAGCTCAAGGCTGCTCGCTACTTGCTTGCATTCAGGTCTGATGCTGATATCATGCTGTAGCAAAAGCCTTCGCGATTGTGTGAGCTGGCATGTTCAAGATTTGCTTGTCACGATGTCTGCTGCATGCTGATGTATGACATGATCCTTGCATGGCAACAACATCCTAGGAAAGCAGCAAAAGGAGGCGGCCCCGACAAGCGAGCATGTGAAAAAGGAGGCGACCACACCCGAGGAACGGGCCCCTTTCCCCCCGGAGCCGCCGATGCCACCAATGCCAAAGGAACCGGCGCTTGTACCAAAGGAGCCGAGCTACCCGCCGCCGGGATGGGGGCCCAAGGAGCCGGCTTGCCCGCCGCCGGGATGGGTGCCCCAGGAGCCCAAAATGTCTGGGCCTCCTGCTGAGGATCTGTTGCGGCAGCAAAAGTTGCTTGCAGAGCAGATGTACGAGGCTGCAAGGCAAGAGGCACCGGTGCCAGGTGGGCCCTCGTCAACAGAAATGCAGCAAGCTTGGTTGCAGCAGCAACATGATGTCATGAAGCAACAGCAGACACAGTTCCTGATCAAGCAAGAGCAAGCACGCATGGACTTCTTGAACGAGCAGCAGAAGCAGTTTGAGATGCAGCACCAGGCTGTGCTTGTGCAGATGCAACAGCAGGGGTGCACGGGGCAAGCAGCTGTGCCTTCCTTTGGATCTGTCGGTGGACCCATGCTGGAGGCCATGAGCATTCAGGAGGACAGGCGCCGACAGTTCATGGTGGAGCAGGAGCGGCTGCTTCAGCAGCAGCAGAGGGAGGAAATGATGGAGAAGCAAAGGATGGAGCAACAGCTGCAGCAGCAGAGGCAGATGGAGGAGCAAAGGATGGAGCAAGAGCGACTGCAGCGAGAGCAGGATGAAGCTGCCCGAGCCGCAGAAGAGGAGCGGCTGTTGCTGGAGGAGGAAGAGGTGAGACGAGCTGCTCAGGAGAGCCAGAGAATGGCAAAGGAGCTTTACGAGTTGGAGGCAAGGGCAGAGCGTCTTCGCAATCACATGATTGCTCAGAGTAGCCAGTCCAAGGCACCCGGGGTTCCGCGTGCCTATATAATCCCGGCGGATTGGCCCAAAGATATTCCGCTGCCTCCCATACCCCCTCCCGTACCAAAGGCTACTCCGCCCCGGACTCCCGTCGCTCAGCCCAGAACTCCCCCGGCTCCAGAGCCACCGACTCGGTCGCGATCGCCAATGGGCAACAACCGCCTTTCGGACAGGGTCAGGCAGGTTGCGGCTTCAGCAGAGCTTCCTGCAGCTCCTAATCCCCACTCTGTTGCTAAGCAATACTTGATGCAGCAAGTGCAGCAAATGCAAGAAGCACAGACAACAGCAGCAACGGCAGCAGCAGCAGCAACAGAGCCTGAGGATGATGGGGACAGTGCCGAGCCCAAGAGACAGAAGGTGGTGCAGGCGAAACCGATGCCACGACTCCCCCCAAAGCCCAAGCAAGCTACCAAGCCGCCACCCGGGAGCCCGGCCCCGGCAGTCGGTGTGTGACTCGCTTGCACTCAGCATGCTCTGCTCATGTGTGCTTGATGTCGCTTGTGCAAGTTGCATCCATGCCTGCATGTTGGCTTGCTGCTTGAATCAGGGTTTGTTCTGACAGGAAGGCCAGCGAGCAAGCATACAATAGCACGTCGCACCCTACCGAATGGCACTTCCTGAACCGCCTGGTGAAGAGCAAAAAGGGTACCCTCGCAGAAATCACCAAAGCCTGGGAAGAGGGACAGCGCTTGCTTGTGTGAGAGAGAGAGAGAGGAGAGAGAGAGCGACAGTGTGCATGTGGGTGGGTTCGTTTGCTTGTGCATGCCTCCATGATGCATGAGCTTATGGGTACCTTGTCCTTGACACATATATACAATGTCCATGCAGGAGGGCTAAAGCGGGCTCGACTGCTGCGAGACTTCGTGGTAAAGGTTTACAGCCCTGCAGACGACCGCAGCATCAACAAGGGTCGTTTGGAGGCGCTGATACGCTTGCGGCAGTCTACCAAAGAGTGGAAGAAGAACACTCAAGGGTTTGAATGGTGTACGATCGCCGATATGGAGGCCAAAGGTTGGCCCAAGAGCCTTGTATTGTATTAACATGAGCCTCATTCTATTGGTTATTTTAGGTCGTTTTCATCAAGCACACTATCAACACTTAAGGGAAAAGATCGAAGGAGCCAAGAAGTACTGCAGTGCGAAGCGGCTATTCAAGACTTGCCCGTATACGGGTGAATACAAGTTTCTTGTGCTTGTCTCGGATACGGTGCAGAAACTCGGCTGTAAGTCTGTTTCCCCCTTGGCCTTGGCTATTTCAAGTTGTGACAAAGAAACCTATTTGGACATTCTCTTCTGAAAACCAGGCAAGGGCAGGAGAAGCTCAGGGAGCTGGAGGAGCTCATGGAAGAGGCAGGATTCTTCAACGACCAGTTCCAGCTCGGGTGCGGCGATTCCTTCGAGATCAGCGACGACGAGTCGGTGCCGGATTCGAAAGCTGCTGAGGGGAAAAACGGGAGGAAGGGGGGTGGCAGGGGAGGGGTGAAGACAGGTCTGCCATTGATCGTGGAAGGGGATAAGGACCTGACGGCCAACCTGGGAAAGTACAAAAAAGCACTGCTAAACAAGCGAACCGTGCTCAAGGAGGTCAAAGACAGATTGGTCGACGAAAAATGCAGTACACACCAGTCTCTTGTCACACAGCACATGAACATTGTCTTGTTGATGGTTATGAATCTGCTGATTGGACTGCTTCTGTTGCATGTTGTCATGCCTCAAACCGAGGGATGATTTGACGGCTTGTGAAAGAACGTTGGGTGCAATTGGCTGCAATTTTAGGATGAGCAAGCTCTGCTTCATGCTGCATGGTGTGTGTGTGTGTGTGTGTGTGTGTGTCTGTTGTTGCTGCATGTCAAGACAGCATGCTCATGCTGGGCAAGAATATATATGTGCAATATACTTCATGGCAAAATAACTTGTCGTCTCTCAGGTGAGCTCAATGTCTTCTACAAAGCGATCTGTGACATGGAGCTTGTGGAAAAGTGACTTGCGCTGAAATTATGCTGCTTGTGCGTTTCTGTCAGATCAGGGGTAGACAACACCAGCTGATTAAGGGATGCCGTCGCCTTCACCGACATCACCCGAAAGATTCGTGATGCGTTATGGGCTCAGTTCAGTGCATTTGCAGCACCAAGCTACAAAAGTACAGATATATCATATAGCCTGAACAGAACAAGCTAAGGGTGACCACCTTTGGCAACAACATTGCTTCGCTCAAGACGCTGGGCAGCATCGCAATTAACACAGGCATGTGATATCTTAACGGCATGATTATTGAAACCATTTTTGCAGCCAAGGAGCCATTATGCTCCGAAGCCCAAACGGGCAGCGAAGCCTGCAGCCAAAGAGGAGATTGATAGTTGAGCCCCATGGCAAATGGTCGACTATAGTTGCCATGCACTACAGCCTATAGCTTAAGTCTTAAGTCTTGTGCACCCTCCATGCAGCTAATCAACATATAGCACTGCTTCAACAGCATACCAAAGAACTTCTTGTGTGGGCCATGCCATGTTTTGCTCCAGAGTTTTCACTTCTGTGTTGGCCTGCCTGTGTGGACCTGGGAATGGTAATCTGATCTAGGTAAATGCACTGCGACAAACCGGACCTGGGTAGACGATACACTGCATTCTCGCATAATAGACTACATAGCTGCAGTGCTGAGTTCATACAGGCGGCTGGGGCACAGCTGGAATACGAACATGCAATTGCTCCTCTGGGAATATACTTCAATAAAGGGTCATGAGCCATTTACTGAAGGCTCGATTTAGAGTACTTGCATACTCAGAAGACGGAGCTTCTTGGCATGTTGAACGCTTGGGGACCCAGTAGCCAGAGTTCCGAGTGGCTGCTTCTGAAAAGGATCGATGTCTTGCCCCTGCATGATGTGAAGTTTGCTAGGTTTGTAATTTACTACTGAGCCCACGTCCTCGCGCAGGTGCTGAAGCCGTGACCAATGTGCTCATCACCTATGTGGCCGCATGGCTTGAGTTGTTTGCATGCTCATGCACAACAACATCAACAACAATAACATCAGCATCAACAGCATGCCAGCAACAACATCAATAACAAGAATATCCACAAGCACAACCACCATAATAATCGCAGTCAAAATAGTTCTTATTCACGGCGACGATAATAACGACGACCACCCCCGCCACTACTGCTGCCACCCCGACTACCACTACTACGACCACCGGTACTGCTCCCAGCACTAGCACCACCCCGTCCGACAACACCATCACAACAGGAACAGCAACAACAACGACAACAGCAACAACCGTAATCAAGACAATTAGCATGTAACGACGGCAAGACGAGAATCCAGCAACAACAGACTGGCACTCCAACCATCATGCATACAAGACAAAGAGCAAGCTTGTGTCGTTGTTGTGCATGGCTTGTCTTGTTGCTTCGCTTGTTATAAGATCGATATGCGAAGGATGGGACAGCCAGCAGTGCGAGCTCTCATGCACGCAATACAGCAGAAACAATGTTGCCTGGGCATCCTGGACAAGATATTCTGGTTAAGCTTGCTGAGTCCAAGACAAGCAAGAACCAGGCTCGCAACTTCAATGATGCTGTGACCAAGCGTGGCTGGCTTTGCTCTCCGTGTCCCAGTCAAGCACATACCAGTGCCATCTCCTGATGGTGATGGCACGGTGCAACATCCTATTCTATGCATACAAGATATGGCCCAGGAGATCTTCCGTAGCTATGAGGATAAGCTTTTTGCAGGTCGATCGGTGGAATCAGCACAGGGGCTTTTTCTGAGATTCTGGAGGACCTTTCGTCAAGTTCATCCCGATAGCATGGTATTCCGAGTCCATTCACAAGACGAATTAAAGTTTTGTATCCCTTGCAAGTTTCATGTACATGAGGGCACGGGGCTTCGGAAGAGTGCTGTTCTCCAGTGCTCGTGGGGACCAGTCCTCGCATCTGGTGTTGCAAGTTGGCTCCGATATTTTTTTTGGACTGCCATGGGTCACGACGCTTATACTGAGCACAATGTGGGTTGGGAATGGGGCAACGAAGTGGTGGACGCACTGATGAAGGAGTTGGCCAAGCAGGCAACATCCGCTATGGAGACTGGTATTGCCACCAAGCATGGAACTTTTTTTCTGTGCTTTCTAAGTCTGGAAGGTGATCTCCCAATTCAGGCCAAGATTTTTCATTGCAACCGACATTTCCTACGTGTTCCGAACCCCATGTGTCCATGGTGTTTGGCCGATGGGGAAACCATCCCGTTCACTGATGTTCGTTCAACAGCCTCTTGGAGGGCTACAGTAGGCCAGAACGTCCCATGGAGCGTTGAGCCACCGTTGGCTGCTTTAACCAGGAACGGCGAGGCGACCTTTTTGGCGAAAGATCTTTTTCATATCGTCAGCTTGGGAATAGGTCGCACTTTTTTGGCTTCTGCGATCTGCTTTTTGGTTTACCTGGGTCATTTCATTCCCACAAATATGGATGGCGGGCGAAGCATTCCTGTGAGGCTAAAGGAGGCCTACAATGATTTCAGGCATTTTTGCAAGCACGTCCTGAAGATGACGCCAATGGTTAAGCACTGGACGAAAGAGAATCTTTCCTGGACAGATGCTACAAAAAGCATGCCTGCCTGTAGCTTCAAAGCTTCGGACACGTACTTGATTTTATCGTGGCTTGCGGATTATTTGGGGCGACCACTTCAAGCAAGCAACTACATCGACAACATGTCTGCTTGTGCTCATGGTGTCTTGCTCATGTCATGAGAGGTTTGTTGTTGCCTTGCTTGTGCTTGTCATGTTGTTGAAGTTGTGCATGTAAACTGACCCAAGCAGATAATGTCTATGTTCGAAGCAACTCAGGCCTGGATGATTTTATGCGGATATGTTTTAAAGCCGACCGGATCTTCATGACTCCAACTGAAGGACAAAGTGCGCTGACAGCTTTGGACAAGTTTCTGATCCACTACATTCGGCTCGCTTATGATGCTAACCGGGACCGTTTGGTATTCTTCAATATCACCCCCAAGCTTCACTATTTGGATCATGTGCGCATGGATCTCAGGGGGCAGCTTTCAAGACAACAGCAACGCCTCTTGAATCCGATGGCGTTCTCGACTGCCATGGCCGAGGATTATGTTGGCAGGGCTTCTGTTATTTCGAGGACGCCGCACCCAACGGCCATGCCGCTGCGCACGGCGCAGAAATGGTTGATCGAAACCAGACTTCGGTGGCGGGGTGAGCGATAAAAAAGCTGAACGACCGTTGATTTGAGGCAGAGCAAGCATATCATCAGCATCAGCACACGAACATCATCTTGTCTTCACTTCTCATATTTCGATATCTTTCGGATCTTCTTTCTTGACTTTCTTGGATTTCTCATATGATATATTCAAGATTCTTGAAGAATACAAAACCTATTCTTGAACTCCCAGAATCCTCGAACCAGAAAGATATGGTTTCCCAACCGAAACCAGAAAAAGGAACTACATAGGAACTCCTAGGTACATATACACATGCATTCATATATCGAAACTCAGCTGTATGCATATGTCACGTGGCCTGGCCAGTCGACAATGAAGTGCAGCATCCTTTCCGCTTACAGGTGCCTTCAAGTACCAGGTGGCTGTAGCCGCCAGCTCGGAGGCTGGCGGAGGCGTCTACGCCATCCCGTTTGCGCAGACCTGCGGGCGAGTGGCTGCTGGGACTCGTGATGCTGGAAGTAACAGAGCTGGCGGAACTCTTTCAGAAGGATCATAATGGTAGGACCGATGTGCGACGTTAACGCATTGCCAAGTATGCATCGTGATGGATGCTGTCAGCTTCGTCCTCATGACCATCACCATTCTGATCAGACCATTCCCATCCGACCGCTGTTCCCCATGCGACAAAGATTACTGTAGTAGCAGTGAATACCACCACAAGCGCGACCACCACATCTACAGCCACCTCCAGTCAGTCTTGGTATGTCTTGGTCGAAAGCGAGACGAAGGTTACATAGTCTTCGCTGTTATTGCCGCGCGTTAGTACTGTTATGGTGATGCCGCGCGAGTCTGACGACGATAGAAGCAAGAGCCATAACATCGACACAACTGCAACTGCAATTGCAGAAACGAAACGACGACGACGATGACGGCTTTTGATTACTGTGCTTCTACTGCTGCGCCTGCCGTAGCCACAGATCTGTTGTTGCCACTGAGACTTTGGTGCGCGATGCCTACATATGTCTGCAAAGGTCACCGAACCCGCCCAGGTCTGCATTGACCCCGAGTCGGGCCGCAAGGAGGAAGTCGGCGAGGAGCACAGTGGCGCATGGGGGAGTGTCAGGGGCATGTTGCCTGCCTGCATGTGAACAAGGTCATCTTGCTGTTTCGGGCAGTGCTCTCAGGGGCTTCAGGCTGCCTTGAAGCACGAAAGCGCATGTTTAGCCTGACCACCCGAAGCCCAAAGCCGGCAGATATGTCGTGAAGATATATGAAGGGTTTCAAGCCCTCCTACTGTGGTGTGGGAGGATAACTGTACAAGAAGAGATTCATACAAGATCGTGTAATGAGACCGAGCCAGGAGCTGTCTCTAGGACAAGCTCGATACGTGGCTGCTGTGACATTTGGCAGAAATGTGATGTGAGCTGATTTCAGTATGGCCGCACCAGAGCGCGTATCGATCTTCGCTGAGCTGACGGCCCAACAATAATGCAAGACACCACGGTTCAGCTTGCGCTCGCATCCGAAACGCGAAGTTTGCTGTGAGGTTTTCGGTTAGGAGCCTCGGACTGCTGTGTCTGAGGAGCGCTGGGGGAAAGATCTTCGCTGTGCCTTGTCACGCGCGACATGCCCTGGAGGCTGGGCCTGCACGCGCTGGAGCCGCTGGAATGCATGTGCAGCATCTTGCACAGATGTCATGTTCTCTCATTTCTCATCTTCAGCTCCGGACCAGGTTGACCCGAAGATGAAGAGCGTGCGTGAGTTTGGGCAGGAGCTTCCCTACGGTGGCCTGAAGTACCAGGCGTGCGTGTAGGTCCCGGTGCGTGTGGAGTCGTGGTGTAAGGAAGGCAAGCCTCAAGCTTCCACCAGGTGGTGGGTAGTGTTCTCGATGATCAAGTCAGCTGTTTCAGTTCTCTCATGGCGAACCTTGTTGGTCCCACTTCGTTTGACCCTCCCGAGCATCGCCTCGTGACGTCGTATTGGAACATCGCATCAATCTGAAGGTAGGTGCGGCTCTTTTGCCGGCTGTGGAGAGTCTTCGCAAGGGTTCCTAGCGGGCCCAGCGCCCAGGTTGTCAGTGCCTTTAGTCGCTGCCTAAGCCTATCGTGAGAGCTGACAAGGCTGCCGTCTGCGGCCTTGATGGATGCGCCTACGGCTTGAAAGCTGTTTGAGAAGCGAGCCTGAGTGTTGTGAAGTGTGATACTCGTAGGTTTATTCGACAGAGTTCGTTGTCTTAGTAGCACCTTTGGGATGTTTGGACCCGGCTGTCGCAATTTTCCTTGAGGTGTCCACGCTCAAGGCTTTCGGGGCTGGAGCTCCCATCAGAAGTGGCAGAAACTGAGGCGTTTATGGCATCCCTTTCAACGCGCCACGCTTCTTGAAGATCGACCCGGTGATGGGTACGAGCCGGGAGGCGAATCGGGTGCCACTGATACTCCGAGAAAGGGGTTGAATCGTGGGTGGCATATAAGCGGAGACGCGAGATCTGTTGATCGCCCCAGGCAACCTGCAAAGTCGCGTATCGAGTTGGAGACAAGAAGAGCTCGGCTTTTGTCCCAACGATATGTCAGCATGCCAGCCAGCCTTCGTTTCAGGTGGGTGAAGCGCTACCCAGTGGGGGCTTCAAGTACATGACGGCTGTGGTTGCTCCAAGCGGATGCACGATGCAAGTGGTAACATAGGGGTCAGAATGCTCTAATAACCCCTCCCCTCAAAAAACCAGTCCAATCACTGCGCACTGCCCCCAATATCAATCAATACATATATATATATATATATATACATGGTTCTATCTGGGGACTTCGAGGATCGGGTTAGGATCCCCGGAATTCGCCTGAGCCAGGGTCACGGCTTGGATTTTGGAGCTCACGGCGACCTCATAGGATGAGGGCTTATAGGGCCCAAAAGGGTCCCAAGTACTGTTACGGGGGATACTTCCCAAATCATAATAGGCCAGTATTATTATTATTACTATTATTATTAAAATTATTATTGTTACTATTATTATTATTGTTATTATTATTATGTAATTCCTAGTATAGAAACCCTGCATTCTACTATAAAGGTACTTTGGACCCTTTGGGGGCTTAGGGTTAGTTTACTTTGCGCTTCGCAGCCAGCACTCCCACCCAGGAAGGATCTACGTCCCGCCTTTCGATGCCGAGCAGGCTCAGTACAGGGGTCGGAATAGTGTGCAATGGTGACAGCCCCCATATACACGTATGTATATCTATCCATCTATCCATCTATCTATCTATCTATATATATATATATATATATATATATATGTACACTCTACGCCTTAAACCCAAAGTCCCCAATGCTGTGGACATTGGCTTTGCACTAATCCACCGACTTTGACCTCCTGGTCCAGGATGCTGTATTGGAGGTCTCGAAGTTGCAAGGGCCCTGCTTGTCAGACAGAACCTGCAGTCGAGTAAGAAGCTCACTGCACGCCCCGAATTCCGGCCAGCGCCGCTTGGTTCCCCTAAGGCCCCTACACTGAAAGCATCCTGAACCCGAAACC